CGACGCCAAGCCGCCCATTCCGCGTCGGTGTACACTTGCTCAGTCATGGCGCTAGTGGCGCCAAGAAAAAACGGTGCGATTTCCTTGAATCTTGAGATGAAAAGCTGCTGCAGTCCAACATGTTGAGCTTGGAAGCAACCGACGGTGCAGCAGTCAAGTCTTGGTGTGGCTTAGGCCGGGGCTCTTCGAGGATCTCGATGCGCAGACTGTCTCAGCCTGGTTGGCCGGCGACAGACGGAAAGTGAGCAGAGAGATACTGAATCCATGCATGACTTTCCTGCCTCTTCCTTCCCTCACATCACTCCTTGCTGCCTGCTCATTCCTCGCATCTACAGTCACACCCTCATCTTGATCATTCCTTCTTCCTTCCCTGCTTCCTTCCCTGCTTCCTTCCTTCCTTCCTTGCTTCCTTCCTTGCTTCGTTAATTATTTTCGCTGTCTCTCTCTCTCTCTCTCTCTCTCTCTCTCTCTTTCTCTCTGCATCTGTCTTTGAGGATCCGGCTCACCCCTGCTCGGGGTTCATCCTCACCCCTGTTCGGGGTTCATCCACACCCCTGCATGGGGTTCTCACGACCCCTGTTCAGGGTCCAGGCTCACCCTTTTCGGGGTTCATCGGACGCCCCTGTGCGGGGCTCTAACGACCCCTGTTCGGGGTCCAAGCTCACCCCTGTTCGGGGTTCATCCACACCCCTGCACGGGGTTCTCACGACCCCTGTTCGGGGTCCAGGCTCACCCCTTTTCGGGGTTCATCCACACCCCTGTACGGGGCTCCGACGACCCCTGTTCGGGGTCCAAGCTCACCCCTATTCGGGGTTCATCCCGCAGCCCCTTCAAGGGCTTGGTGCGGGTACGCCCCTGCACGGGGCTCCGAAGACCTCTGATGTGGCGACCTGACATCCTGACAGAGCCTGCGCGAATGCCTAATTACAACTACTTTTGCCTGCTACCTTTAAACTTCTTTCCTGATCAATGCCTCCTTACCTACATGCCCGCCTACCTAGCTATCTAGAGACCTGGAAGCCTGCCGGTGCACCTAGACCTACAAGTACCTCCCTCCTGCCTATCTACTTATCTATACCTACCTGCAGGAGTGGGTGGGCGGGTTTGGGGGTTGGGTGGGATTACAGTTTAGGGTCCAGGGTTTAGGGCATGAGCTGGACGTTACGAAAGCTTAGATTCCCTTCATGTTTAATCATGAACACACACACACTAATTTTCAAGTCGTTGTGAATCGTACAAAAAGCTGACTTTAGGGTTTCAGAACACAAAATCTCAAGCTTCTTGTTTTCGTTGAGCCACAAGAACACCAAGTTGCATTTGTTTGGTTTGCTCGGCACAAACGAATCTTCAAAATAACTTCAAAAATATCTTGCAACAAAGAAATTCCATGTGAACTACAAAACTTGGGACAGGCAATTATGTCAGTATGGCTTTGATTTTTCGATGTACATGTTTTCACATTTCGAACAAACCAAGTTTTTCAGGCATTGATTTTTCTATTGAGCCACAAGCACACATCTTTTTATACATGTCCAGCATCTCGCTCTTTCCATAGAGCCACAAGAACACACATGACGTAGGCCCAATGTTGCTGCAGTAGTTGCATTTGTTTTCCGTCCTGCCCCCCCCCCTTCAGCACGACATCAGACATGTTGCTTTACGTGTCCTATATACACGTGTTCTGACATGTCCATCATGTCAGCAACAAGTGTCCTATATACACGTGTTCTTACATGTCCATCACACGTGTTCTTGCATGTCCATCATGTCAGCAACACGTGTCCTATATACACGTGTTCTTACATGTCCATCATGTCAGCAACACATGTCCTATATACACGTGTTCTTACATGTCACTCATGTCAGCAACATAAATCCTAGGACCCGGTTCCATAACGGAAAGGACCCGGTTAGCCCCGGACAGGCATGAGGGCCGGCGGCATGCCAGCGTGAGGCGCACGAAGGCTGGCTTGCAACTGCGCAGCGTCGGCAGGGAAACGCTGGAGCAGTGCAGGGAAGGCGTCCTGCCACGAGGCCCAATAGGCGGCCACGGCACCGGAGGTGGCAGAACGCAGACCCAGGCCCCCTAACCCGAGCGGAAGCTGCGCCGTGCCAAGGGCATCATTTCGCAGCTCGGGTGCTTCCTCGCCGTAGAGCAAGGTGCGGAGACACAGGGCGACGGCACGATCATGTTCGCGGGAGTAATCGGCCGTGCAGTGCGGGGGGAGCATGCGGAGGAGGTAGTTGGCGCGGGGGGACGCGCAGTAAAGTAGTAGCAACATGTAGCAACCAGGCTGCCTGCAGGTCGCCGAGGGCGGGGATGCGCTCGAGGAGGACCTCCTGGCTGCGGCGCCGGTCCCGCAGTTGCCGCTGCACGAAAGCTTCAGTGCCGAGCGGCGCACCGAGCACGACGAGCCCTTGGCGCTCTGCAGGCAAGGTCCAAGCCCCGACCCAGACGTCAGTGGCAAGGCTGAGGTCCGGTTGGAGTGCAGCGAGGTTCGGCGGTTCCTCTCCAGCTGCGTTCCAGACACGGGTCTTGACCTGGTTGAGCTGGACTCGAGCATGGTCCCAAAGGGCAGCGGCGAGGGTACCGTACAAGGTGGCGACGCGCTCAGGGGGGCAGACGATGTAGGTATCATCGAGGAAGGCGAACACGCCTTTGCCTGGCTGCAGTGTGGACGCGACAGCATGAAGGGCAGCGTGCTGTGCCACCGCATAGAGCGCGGGCATGAGGGGGTCGCCTTGCTCGCCGCCCTCGGCTTGCAAGATCTCGTGCTCGGTGCCCGTGTCGTCAGTCCAGACGTAGCTGCTCTCGGTGCCATAGAACTGGCGAGCGAACGGCAGGAGCGGGGCAACCTGAGGTCGCGAGCGTAGCCTTCGAGCATGGCCTGTCGAGAAACGTGGTCGAACGCTCCTACGGCGTCGACCGACAGGACTGTGGTGCGGGGATTGCACTCGGTGGCGACCTGGAGGAGCTTGTACAGCGCCTCAGTGCCCGCACGCGTGCTCAGGCCGAACTGATATGGCATGCATGCCGCCTGGAGGGCCTCCACGAAGTGCTGTGCCAAGGCTCGGGCGACGAGGCGGCGAAAAACATTCCCGACGACGAGCGCACGCACCCGGCCGTTCGGCTTCCGGAGCGCTACGATTCGTCCAAGGCGTGCGGCTGCCAAGACAGGCGCCGGCACGTCAGCGTTGGCGAACCGAAGTGCTGCCTGGTGGAGCAAAGTGAAGTCGTCGGGGTTGTCCAGCTGCAAGCGCAGGTGCTCATTATGTAATGCCTGAAGGGCCTGCGGCCGAGCCTCGCCGGGCCGCGCGCAGGTTGGCCAGCAGGAGCGTGTCTGGCATGGGGCATGGCTCCGCGACATGGTTGAGCACCTCCGGGCTGAGTGGCACGACTGGTACGACTGGTACTACTACTACTACTACTACTACTACTACTACTACTACTACTACTACTGCTGCTATTACTACGACGACGACGACGACTACTACTACGACGACGACGACTACTACTACTATTACTACTACTACTACCACTACTACTACTACTACTACTACTACTACTACTACTACTACTACTACTACTACTGCTACCACTACCACTACTACTACTACTACTACTACTACTACTACTACTACTACTACTACTACTACTACTACCGCCTAGTATCACCACCACCACCATGTCGACGACGACTACTAGTGCTATCACTACCACTCCTGCTACTGCTACTGCTACGGCTATTGCTACTACCATTACCACCACTACTACTACACCAGGGTGGCGTGCGGCATGGTGGCCGACGGTAGACATTGCCCAAAACGAAGGGATCTGACAAACCCCAAAGCAAGCAACAAACAACAGAATTGGACCGGAGCACAAGAATTGTAAGAATTGTCAATCGGCCGAGTTGACAGCTAGATGCTCCAGCATATGCACATCTCGAGATTCGGACCGCTGCAGCTAGTTGTTAGGTCACTGCTCCGCTTGGTTGCTGCTGCTGTTGCTTCTGCTGCTATCACGTCTAAAATGGGTGCTATTGCTAAGGCTATACTGCTGGCTCGGCACTAACCCGTGCAGGCCCGCTTGGGAATCCAGGGACAACGAGACGTATGAGACATTCCTGTAACAAGAGGCCGTCGTCGACATGATTGTCGGCATGGTTACGACAGATCATACCGCCAAAACTGCAATTGCACCCGGGTCAGCAGTCCAGGTACTGTCGAGGTAATGTAATTGTTGCGCGGAAAGGCTTGGGACGCTCATGCAGGCGGAAATATGCGGAAATGGGGTGTCAGCATATTGTACCCATCCTGCCAGTACCACCAAAACCATTCAATAACAACTGTAGCCACATTTATCACAACGTTTTCACCGACATCAATCGCGAAAACCAGAAAAAAAACGACGACTGCCATTGTGGTATATTGCGGTTGCAATTTGTGACGTGTTCTGCGAAGTACAACGACACACGCTGCTCACAGCCGGCACGACAGTATGTTTTACGCCGAGATTGTGACGTGCCCGATGCGCACGTGTTGTTGTAGCTGGGGTCGAGGTGGGCGAGGCCCTGTGGTGCCGAAACCGTTTCTTTCCTCTGCCACGTTGTAGCACCGCGCGGTAAGCCTCCTGCTACCGCCGTTATGCTGCATGCGCAAGGTGAGTGCAGAGCTGGTCCGGCCTGTTGGCAGTCGCTGCCATGCGCGTCCTCACGTCATCCTTCCTCGAGCTGCCGCCTGCGCTATCTGCGACGCAGGAGAGAACGGGTCACAACGGATGCATGCCATCAAAAGCAAGGCTAATGTTGTGCGAGAGACTCAGCGTGGATTTGCCGATGTGCAACTGGCACATAGAGCTCTTCAGTGCCTCGGCAGTGTCGCCATGCGTGGGGTTTTGGGTGCTCACGGCGGCTACATGGCATGCCTCCAAAACATCACCAAGTAACATGCGACTTTGTTGCAAGGTCACTCTGAGCGAGCTTTCCAGGAGTTGGTCCATGACCCGCAGGCAAGGGCGAAGCACGAAGAAGCGTGCATCACAGACGAGTGGTTTGTATGATGTTTGTTGCTTGCGCGGGCACCCATTGAGCCGCAATGACTTGTTAGTGTTAGTGCATTCGAGATTGTGTTTGACAGGCGCCCGTCCGTGGGCATGTATGTTTCTGCTGCGGAGGCTCCGCTGTGGCAGTGGATTGTGCGTGTGTGAGTTGTGTGCAGACGCACGCATGGCTTTCTTGATTCAATTGTTTGTTTCGCAGGCTCCGAAACCGAGAATGGCCAAAGACAAGCCATATGCGGAAGCCGTGCGCGGCACCCCAGCACATCCAGTGGATTCAGTGTCGCGTTGATTGACAGCCGATGTTTAGCAAGAGTGGGTTGGGAGGGAAAAGCAGCATGGGACAGGGTATATGACATTGAGTGACATTGTATGACCGAGGTCAACAGCTTGGCATGCTGACCCTGCACTGCAGGCAAAAACCATGTTGCGGTCACATGTCTTCATGTTTTCGTGCTGGTCGGTGCTGTGTGCTTGGGAGACGGACTCGGGTGCTGAGGGTAAGGGGCCTTTCGTCACGGAGCCTCTTGTGTACGAGGACGAGGTGGGTGCATCCAGTCTTACAGCATTTATGGAGGAATCTTGCTTAGCAGGTTGGAGTTCGCAGACTCCACGGGCGGATTGTGAAACCACCCAAACCTAACGGAGCCGGTGTGGTCGCGGCCTTTGCACCGAGATTCGCCAGAGAATTCGCAGGCCACGAAAGCCGAACTATTGTACCACAAGGTGGTCGTCCATACCGCAGTCGGTCCACGTGACATGTGCCTCGCCTGAGCCATTGCTGTGTGTTTTTGCTAAATCGTTGCGCCCAATGCTCAATATCCAAGCCCCCAACGCCCCAACGCTCCGCAACTCTCGCCGAAGGTACCTGCACTGGCGAGCAGAAGTTCTGGCCGCCGGTGGTTACACAGTACTCATTGCCGACATGCTTGGCGACGAGCAGGGCCCTCTGCCTTCTGCCTCGTGCAGGGCTTGCTGTATTAGTTTCACCGCTTAATCAAAGTAGGTGAGGTGGAAACCGATTTGCGAATTAGAGCGCAAGGGGGCGCGAAGGCGCGGGATGCTGGCCCATTCAGATGGTTCGGGCAGGGAGCGGGTCATGTATATTCCGAAGTGTGGCAAATCCTGCGCCAGGTTCATCGAAGACAAAAGAAAGATTGAGAATGAGACGAACAACATGGGAGAGAAGGAGGTAGAACCAGAAAACCTCACCGGTAAACAGTGAACCTTAACAGTAAACCTGTTTTCAAGTTTTTTCGAAGACACATGAATGATTGAGGATGAGACAACCAACATCCGAGAGAAGGAGGTAGAACCAGAAAACCGCACCAGTAAACAGTAAACCTACGGTGTTTCAGCTAGCATCCACGTAGCAGAGTCTGGTTTGGTTCGGGTTTAAACCCAACCCCTTTAACTTCCGAATGCCGGTTCATAGATACAGGAAAACTTTACAATGGCACACTGAAACTTAGCAACAGCTCGAACATCGAAGAATTGCCACCCAGGTTGGGCCAAGCATGGGAGTCCGGAGCTCATCAAGCGTTGAGCACATGCTATTGGTATGACCCTTCGAGCCCAAGCCAACAGGTTTCTTTGTTTTTTTCCTCTGTTTTTGTTTGTGTCTTGTCTTCGCTATTTAGCTTTTTATCTCTCTCTCTCTCTCTCTCCCACCCCCTTTTCGTGTTTTTCTCTCGTTCGTTTTTGCTGATATTTGCTCGATCGCTAGATTGCAGTCCTTCGACCACCCCCAGCCACAGCCCCCCAGCCCAGCCCCAGCCCCAGCCCAGCCCCAGCCCAAGCCCCAGCCCAGCCCCAGCCCCAGCCCCAGCCAGCCCCAGCCGCAGCCGCCCCAGCCCCTCCAGCCCAAGTTTACCGTTCTGTTTGCCAAGTTAAGGGTATGAAGTGGTGAATGATGTCGCTTAGCGCCATCCTGCACAGCAGCGATTGCAGGGCATATCTTACTTTTGTGGCATTCGTAAGCCTGAAACCCTCCACCCTAAACACCTTAAACACCCCAAACATCCCCAAACCCGAAGCCTTGAATCCTAAACCCGAAACCCACCGAGGCCGGAATGGGGAGCTCTCGTGCGTCAGCCTTTGGCCGACGATCGTGGCATGAGCCGACAAAGGCGCCAGCAAGTCCGACCTGAACCTTGCAGGACTTAGGTTTAGGGTTTAGGGATGTTTAGGGTTTAGGGTTCGCATTATGAGTTCCCATTCAAGGTCCTCAACATGCTGTTTGAAACACTGGGAACAAGCCCTCAACCTTACCCAACGCCTGAAGCCGTTTTTCGAGATGTTTGACACCAGACCTTAGGGCTCTGCACGACATAGACATTCGCACGATGACCTTGCCAGGATGCGAGCTTCTGTCCGTGCGATGGCGGAAGTGGGAGGCCACAGGGGCAGTACAGCTTATAATTAAACTCGCGATGTAGGCTGACGGGAATCAAAACTGTCATGTCCCGGCAGGTGTCGATCCACAACGGATCGGGGCCATTGGTTATTGCTTCGGAGGTCGTGCCGTGCTTGATTTAGCCCGTCCAGATCTCAGACCTTCCTTGCATGTCGATAGCTCCACAGCGGGCTCACGGCAGCTTTCTTCTCCCGACTCAACGAACCAGGCTTGGGCCCTGCAGCAGGAGTCACAGCTCGGTACTCAGTCAGTATTCAGTAATGAACAAGAAGCGCGACAGAAGCCAGCGCTTTGAGGATATCGCAGGGAGTGAGTGAATCGCAGGCGGTGGTCTCGTTCCACGGGATTCTGGACGATGGTGTGGTGCCTCCAGAAGACATGTCGGCCAAAGATGCGTGGTGGGCCCAGCAGAGTGCAACTAGGTTAGGTAAGCGGCTCTCAAGCCCACTGCAGGCCTCAGCATAGCATTTGGTGCATTGCCGGACACGTGCTTCGCGCATGATGAAGAAACACGGAGCTGCAAACCGATTTCCAGGCTGAGCTCAAATCAACACCGCTGCCAGAACGAACACTGACGGCAGTGAGTGCCGCAAGCCATGAGGGATTCAGTTCTATTGATTTTGCCAAGCAAGAGAACAAACCTTCAAGGCTTCAACATGTCGAGCCCGTGAATTCCGGGCCAAGTCGTAGCATGACACCAGTGTTCGCTTCGATGACTTTTGCCAAGTCCCAGTGACCCAGTGGTTGGCATGTCCGTAGACGGCAGGTGGACACATGTGAAGACCAATCTAAACTTTTTAAACCACGAGGCTTGGTGAGAGATGGTGAGAGGTTATATTTGCAGAACCATTTCGCAAGTTCTGCACGTCGAAGGCACGCTATCCTGTCAGCATTCCTCCTTACCCACACGTGTTGTGATTAGAAGCCAAATCGCAAGTTGGTAAATGGGTACTATATATGGGTCACCATAGGACAATGGCCGCCACTATGCATGATGTCGTTTTTGGATTCTCAGTGGTATTTCCGCCGTTTTGGCAACCACCAATGCCCCAAGCACCCAGACCCGAAACCGCACCACACAGCGTGGCGGGTGGCGGGTGGGCTTCTAAACCCTAAACCCTGAAATCCTGAACCCTAGGATGATACCGAACACCCCATAGTAGTTCCTTTTGGAGTTCATATTTAGAATCCTATAAGGTAATTACCAAAAGGAACTGCAATGGAGTCTCCGGGTAGGCCCACATGAGTCGATTCTAGCGGAGTTTGAGTTTGACAGAGCGGCAGCGCATCGCATGTATCATGTTACATCATCTCATGCTATCTTGTATTGCGTCGTGTCATGCATGACACCATTACCTCTTAGTTACATATCTTGATATCATATTGGTTTATACTGTTGTGTTTTAGTATCGAACTATATGATACTTCCTAGCCTCTACTAGCACTTTTGTGTATTTGTTGAGATGTAGCCTATCATGTTACACCGAATTACATCATTCACTATCTAGTACATCATGTATTTGCATCATGTTGTAATTCTATGCTACTTTTGCTACATCATACCCCCCCCATATTATATTAGAAAGAATGCTCCCGCAAAGTCCCACAGCCGGAAGCAAACCCAAGAACTTTTAAACCGAGGCTCAGTTTTTGTGGTGTTCAGGGGTTAAGGTTTAGGGTTTTTGTAATGTTCTGTCCCTAATTATACTGCACAATACTGCGCAGTTACAAGGAATCAGCAAGAGTACACGCTTTACGCATGGACTCTGGGGGGAAGAATAAGAAACTACACCAAGGCCACGTGTTCTGGTCTGCCACGGCGATGCGGACCCCTTTGTCACTGCAGATGGTCGGGCAGCGCCTGGCACCCGTCGAGTGGGGTCGATTTGTGCGGGCGCTAGTTGTTCTGTTCAGAACATGGTAGAGGCACTCTTCTGTTGAAGTGCACTTGATAGGAGAAGGATTTCGTGTTTCGTATCCGTGTAGGATTTCGGGTCCTGGTGCCAGTGCACAGGGGTGCGCTGATCCGTTGCAATTGCCCCCCTAACCCTGAAGTCGAAACCTTCGCCCAAAACAAAAAGGTTGCTGTAACCCTCAAGTTTATATCGCTATCTTACAACCTCCAAGTTCTAAAGCCCAAAGCCCTGCACTCTAAATCGTGATGTCCGGAAATCCCAGACGTCTAGTTGTTTTGAATCCCCAGAGCAAGGTTTGAAAATCAGATGCGCTCGGCAAAGGCTCGGTGGGCCGGCTCCTGAGAAGAAGGGAAGTGGGTGGGTAGAAACGATCTGTTGTTGCGGTTTAGGATTCAGAATTTAAAGGTTTGTTAGGGTTTCGGGTTTATAGGGTGAGGGTAGGGTTTGTTCTATACTACTAATGCGAAGACTAGCATGGGTACCGTAGCTCCTCAACGCGACCCTGACTCGGTACTGCCAGAAGAATCGCATGTTTTGATTTTTGGTAGCGTTGAACCGAACCCTCAACCCCGAACGCCCTAGAAAAGGACATGCTGGTCTTCGGTGGCGTCCGGCATGGCTTTACAAATCCAGCGCAGGCTGGAAGTGCTTTCAGCCATCCCAGGGCCCCCAAGCAATAAAGCAAGTCATGTATCTGCCATGGAGAGATTTCACAACCCTACAGGATTGTAGCCCCCTAGATATCGTATGCATTCGTTCAGGCTTTCAGAAGCCTTTTTGACCCGTACCCTAAAACCATGCACGAGTAGCCGAGACTCCGAGCTCAATTATTGTTCTCACACGGGCAGGATTTGAATCCCAACGCGGCTTTCGGTTATTCGGCAAGAGCAGCAGCCTTGTCATGGCGGGCAATGGAGGAGTCCCGGCGCTTAGGTCTCTCAATCGTACGCTTTCCCCCTTTTATTTTGGAGTTTCCTTATGAAAACCGAATAGCAAGACCAAGAATGCCGGATACCATCACCATCAAGGGGCGACTAACAAGGAACCCGAGTCATTACCAAATAGTTACGTCATACCCTGCTGTTGTGGAAGGGTTGGGGCTGCAGGTAAGGGTTTTATGGCTTCGGGTTTCGGCTTGTGCACTGACATTGCCAGCAGAGTTCAGGGAAACAGTGTCGCCTTTCTTGAAACTGCATGCCTTACATATTCGACAAGTTTGCAGGACCTTTTCGCGGAAGCGCTGCAGGAAAGAGAGTAACGCGGCTTTCGGAGTCAAAAACGAGTGCTAGACATAGACCCAGGCTGCTATCGTTTGGGGAATTGAACACTCCATGGTAATCAAAAGTATAAAGTCGTCATAACTCATCAACCACACTTTTGCTGTTGGTGTATAGTTTTGCTAGTCGACCTATACCGGAGAGCTTTTAGGGTCACACTTCCGCTGCCCACCTATCAGGCCTGATCCTTACAACCCTAAACTAAAAAATGTGTATATAAGCCGCAAGCCTAGACCCTAAAGGCAAACAAGCTCAACCTTAACTGTTGAGAGCTATGAAGATGCTAGCATCCACAAGCTGGTCGAGCGAAAGATATGAAACAAAAACACGAAGCATACGAACTCATACAAAAGGTGTTTCTTGACGTTGGTAGTTTATAGAGTCAGTCTAAAGTTGTTTTTTCCAGCGTGTAAGATTTACGGAGTTACTTTTTGGGGCTTGGGGAGGTTCAGCTTAGGGGCAGTTCTCGTTTCCGTAGAGAGGACTGACTGCAGGGTCTCCATGATTTGTACCCAGAGGCTCCATGGTAGTTCCTTTCTGGTTATTACCTTATAGGATTCTACATAGGATCGCCAAAAAGGAACTACTATGGAGCCGTAGGGTCGGCTCTGTCTATATGGAAGGGTTGGGGGATGTTTGGGGTTTGCTATATGGGTAGTTGTCGAAATTAGGGTCCCTTTTTGGGTCCTTATTATAATACGGCACCTAATATTCAGGGTACCCCAAAAAGCGACCATAATTTTGACAACCACCCATATCCTGTTCCTGACATTCACTTCAAAACCACACCTGATTGGAAGGACACGTCGATAGGGGATTTTGAGCTGTTCAATCTTGTGTAGCAAGCCTGCAGCACTGCATATAGCCGAGCACGCTGTAGACATTTCGCGATGCAAGCACAGCTGGTCTATGCAAACCTAGCCTAGCCCAGGAATTGCGACCCGGTACAACTGTTGTGACATTTCTGGGCTCTCAGTCGACTCAACATTTGAATCCTCGAGAGAACTGGCTGCAAGCGGAGGGTGTGGAGCTTAGAGTTTGCTTTTCTGCCCGCAGTGCTGAACGACATGCAACTGCTGTCCACAGTTTTCGCTGCGGCTGTTTGTTTGGATGGGCTTGTTAAGGTCGACAAAGGTGGAAAGGTAACTTTCCTAAACCCTTGCGACTCGCGACCCTGAAATATCGCGCGGAGACATTCGACGCACACATTGATATGCATGTAGGTGAGCAACTACGTATGTCAATGTACATTGTGAAAACTTCCTATGTGTGTCAGCATCTATGTGGGCATGAATGTAGTTGGGTTGTGTGCATGAATGCATGTAAGGGGCGTAGAACTGTAATCGATAGCTACAAATTCGGTTGCACCCTACCACCATCTATCCGACATGATGTAGTTCTCAGGTATCGGAGGATTCGGAGGAACATACTTGCTCCGACCACCCCCGCCCCCCACCCCCCAACATAAAACACCAGTTTCCACATCAGGTGCCCTTTTCATTTTATACATACGGTTGATGATATAAATCCTGCATTACATTGAGGACCCTGAACTATGGGAATTATGGTTTATTATGGGTAATGCATGATTTATATCATCAACCGGAAGACGCTTGCATGCAGACCCTTCGGCTTCTGAGGACATGAGCGCATCACGCACGGGCTCCAAAGAGTCAAAGGACTCTAAGCTGCCAGCGCTGTTGACGCCCGCACCGCCCTCGAGGGTGTTATGGAAACAGGGATTCTTAAAGACTTTCGATTCTTCCACTGGGGCACTTTCGATGCAATGTCGTGTATGTTCTTGCCACCTCCAGAAGTCGGCAGGGTACTTCATGCCTTTATGGAAGAGATCTGCAAGATGTCAAACCACCTTCTCGCCGTGCCGTGTGCTATTTGTTTGGCATGTGTTTCTTGCGAGCACTGGTTTGACAAACCCATGGAGGACACCATCAAGCATAACTTCATAAGTTCAGAAAGTCGCAGACAACCCCACCAAGACCCTAAACCTCGGAGCCGCATCCCAAACCCAAATGCAAGGGTTTGACGATTTAGTGGCAGCATCCTGCTTTAGTCCCTTGAGAACTAAATTAGAATGTGCCGCTTCCAACCCTCTTCTGCCGCTGCATTATGCGCGCACGGATCCCTGAGCAAGGCAAGTCCCACCAGCACTACCGGCTACAAGCAGTCGCCACCCAGTTCATCCCCTTCGCCGGGACCTCAGAACATTCCTCTTTACTATCTGTATATATATATATATGTATGTGTGTGTGTATGTATATGTATACGTATGTATGTAGTTGTCTCTATTTCTTGCTCGCTCTGTTTCTTTCTGCGTCTATACATATAAAAATATGTGTGCATGTATGTATGTATATATATACACACATAATTACGTGTGTAATCATATACATATATATATATACATATGTACTTAATATATATATATATATATATATATATATATATATGCATACATACATACATACATATATATATATGTATATATATATATATACACTTGTTTGTATGCATACTTGCACATTGTATTACCCCACACACTGCCCAGGCGGCAGATGCAGAACTACAGAGACCCTTTTCGACTTTTCCAACACATTTTGAGGATCCTCTAAGGTAGAAGCCGAAGCCAGAAAGTTGGAATATGATTATCCTAACCCTTCTATGGTAAATTATAGGGTATCCTACCATGAAACCATATTCCAACTTTCTGGAGTTTCCTCTATTCTTTGGCTTGTGTGCGGGGCAGAACTCGGGGAGAGTGCTTGGGATTTTGGGCTTCCAAGGGCATAAGGTGTGGTTGCAACCGCCCGTTACGTTTGTAACTGGCCTTGCCAGCCTGTAGCGATGCAAGCTTCCTTCAAACAGCGGCCGTTTGCCAAGAGTCCGACATGTGCACTCTGTCCTTTAGCACAACTTGTACAGATCCCGTATGACTCGGGTTTTTGGAATCACCGGGTGTATTCGATAGTCTTTGTCACGAGTGGTTAGAGCACTCAAACTCAAGCCTTGGATGCTGCATGTAAGGCTTCAGCACCATCAGATTCCAATAATCGTGACAGGCAGAAAGGCATCCGTAACCCAGGAACCCTAAACCCAACACTTAAACGGAGCTTCTGTGTAAACCCTGAAACCCAGCAGGTGGGAAAATCAGGCAAAAGCAGGAAATCGGATGGAGCTCAAGAGCTTCCACAGCTTGTGTCAAGCATCATGCCTTCCTAGGACCCAGAATAAGCCCTTATTCCCTTTTTGTTGGGTTCAGGTTCCCTTATAACACCCTTTATACCAAAAAGGGCACCCTTTTTATTCCTAGGTTACTCTTAGGTCTAGATTCTCGATTGTCAACCCGGTCAGCTCAATATGGGAGTTTCCGAAAATAAGGGGGTACCTTTTTGGGGTGTCCTTATAGTAAGGATCCTACTAATTAGGGTACTATATTAGGGTCCCCTTAGTCAAGGGAGGCCCAAGCCACAAAATTCAACACCGACAGCCTTAGCACTATAAAACTTGATCCCGAACCCTACTTAGAGGATCATGGGACTTAGTCAGTAGGTTATAATTGGGGTTATAAGTCCCCTAAGTGGGGTTATCCTAATTATAACCTACTTATAACCTTACTTACTAGGTCCCATGAGCCTTCAAGTAGCACCCCTGAAACCCTGCAAGCTGAAGCCTTGACCAGGTATGGCGGCGGAAAGCTCAAGAGCAATCATCCCCAGGCGCTGCACCCATACGACCTTCCTGGTTGAGGGTTTTGTGGGTTCAGTGTCGAGGGTCTAGGGTTGCAGTTTTAGGGCCTTATCTTTAGTTTAGTGTTGAGGGTTTTGGGTCACAAACAGGATCTAGGTTTTGGGGTCCTGGATGTAAAAACGGTAGCTGTTTGGATTACTGGCCTGGGATGGCCTTCGCCTGTGATCACTGTTCTATGTATGGTGGAGTACATAGGGTTTCGCAATGTCGGGTTCACCTGCATAGCGGCCGGGGCTTTATCGAGAGGACGTAGTTCTTACGGTTCACGGTTTAGGGTTATGCCCCAACCACCGAATCACAATTGCCCATGCAAATGGGATGCGTGGGAGCCGCAGAGCGGGCTTTGAGAAAAGAACCGGGCAAACATATGCACAACCGCTTCGAAGCCTTCAAGAGAAGTCACAGGGACCCTTAGGGGAGTAGGGGGAAGGGGGGTAGGTGGCCTTGATACCTGTAATCAGGACTTATCAAGGCCTATTTAAGGAAGTATAGTCCCTTACCCCGCTCACCCCTGCCCCCCCCAAGCGTCGCTATGAAAAACAGAGCCCCATAGGAAGATGCATGCAACGCCGCCACAGAGCCGAGATGTTTGACTGCACTTGCAGGCAGGCTCGCTGCCGCATCTGCCACCCAGCAGCGCCAGGGGGGCCGAGGTGGCCTCAGGTTTCTGGGTTCCTATTCTAAAATAAGAAGCCTAAAAAGTATATACTTTTTCCCAGTGTGTTATTGAAATCCAAGGGTAAAAGGAGGGACCCTTCCTAGGTATATACACTTAATATAGCTATTATATACCCACTATATAGCCCATTGTAGGGTAGGGGTCCCCATTAAGGGTCCCTCCTTTTCCCTTTTTATGCACAGCCTAGAAACCTGCCTGCGCCAGGCTGAGGAAGAGCTTCCGGCCACGGCCCAACTCTCCCACTCCACCAGCAAGGCCCAGTTACTTCAAGGGTTCGGGATTTTCGGATTTAAGGTAGGTTCCTTGAAGGGTTCTATAACGGATCCCTAAAAGATGAAAAAGTAATCAGTTACTGCAAGGGTTTGGGTTTTTTTGTTTTTGTTGGATGGTTTAGGGTTAGGTTTTGGGTTTAGGGCTGGGCTTGATTTTTTAGGGTCCAGCGATGGCAGGGTGTGGGATCTAAGGGTTTTTATGGCTCAGGGCTTTTTGGGTTTAGGGTTGTTAGGCTTTAGGGTCTAGAGCGCTAGAGGCAAGCCA